AGCCACAGCGATGGTCACCATCTTCAGGGAGTAGTCATAGCTATCTCCAGTAGGCTCCAGCCCTCGGTGGTAGAGGTCACTCCAGTCGATGAGCATATAATAGTAATGAGACTGAAGCTGTCATTTGGCTTCATGTCTCTTATTGCTGTATACGCTCCTACCGATGTTTGTAAACTCGACATGAAAGAGATGTTCTACATCAAACTTGCATCTGTGATAAACAGTTGTCCCCGACGATATTCGTATTGTTCTGGGTGACTTCAATGCGGTATCTGGCTGCGATCGAGCTGGTTATGAAATGTCTGTCAGTCTTCATGGTTCGGGAGTTGATACCGGCGAATTTCCTTCCTTTTCCGGGATTTTGCAAGATCCCAGAAATTGAGGATTTCTGGCTCGTAGTACCAGTGTAGCCAAGCCCCGCAACCTGCAGCGTGGCATACTTCCCCCAGATTAGGTCCAGGTCCACAGCCTGTCCTCTCGCCCTCACCATCAGCAGCTTCTCGAAGATGCATACCGAGACCTGATTGGCACAGCTCAGACCCACTTAAGCTCCGGCACCTGGGCCAAGTTCAGCACTCACTATCCTCCAGCAGAGCAAGACACTGCAAGCAGCAATAAGGCCTATCCAGGTCTTAGCCGTCGATCTCCAGCACACCAGCCATACCTGTGGGCACTCACACCCAAAAGCTCCTTAAAGAGATGATTGAAACCAGTCTATGGTGGATGCAAATCCATTGCCATACTAGTGACTTTCTGGAGTGACACAAATACCCAGCCTTCTGGAGTATCACTGTTATCACTCGCTCGCTTAGCTCCCTCACTGGAGGGGGAATACCTGTAGCCGACCCCCGCAACCTGCAGCGTGGCATACTTCCCCCAGGTTGGGTCCAGATCCACAGCCTGTCCTCTCGCCCTCACCATCAGCAGCTTCTCGAAAACACATACCGAGACCTGATTGGTTGACACCGGACACCTCATGGCTTGCCCATTGGACCGCAGGTTGGTCCAATGATTGGTTGGCCATAGATTGGTTGTGGCTACTCTCCGGGTCTACTTCAAATCTCCCCAGCGGCCCAATGACCACCCTAGGGTGTTTCATTTGGATAGGCTGAAGGAGAGGGAGTGTGCTCGGGGGTTTGCTGAGACAATCTTTGATTGTTTCATAGCCCTCGACAATCTAACGGACCCTGTACTTCTGTGGGACACCTTCAAGCATTAAACACTTGATGCAGCCCTAGAATCGATTGGAGAACGCCCGAGGGCAAGACAGAATTTAATTTCTCAGGAGACACTGGAAGCCACAGATGCTTGCCATGCGGCTCGTCTGGCAGGGGATCAGGATTTGCACTGTTCCCAGGTGCGTAGAACTCGGTCTCTGTTAAGGGACAAGGATCAGTTTATTAGGAGTCTTGCTGAAAAGGTCGAAGGCCATTTCTTAGTAAATGACCTTCGTCCTGCATACCAAGCCCTGATAAAACTGAATTCCAAGCCCTCTTCACAGGTGACTGCAGTTCGCTTAGTAGGTGGCCAGTTCGTCTCTGATCCTGTTGCGGTGCGGGAACGTTGAGCTGAGTATTTTGAGCAGTTGTATCAGGTTAACCCTCCAACAGTTAACTTGGATGCGGGTAGTGCCGTGATTCTGCTGCCGGACCCACCCTCCCTAATTGAAGTTGGGGAGGCGATCTCCAAACTGAAGAGTGGTAAAGCAGCGGGTATTTGCGGCATCCCAGCTGAACTGTTAAAGGCTGGTGGTGAACCTATGGCGTGGGGATTGCATGCTGTCCTGGCTGAACCTATGGTGTGGGATTGCATGCTGTCCTGGCTGCCATCTGGCGGTCCGGTACCGTTCCCCCTGAACTGTTGAGGGGTGTGGTCATCCGTCTCTGGAAGGGGAAGGGAGACCAATGGGATTGCAGCAATCACCGCGGCATCACACTGCACAGTGTACCAGGGAAGGTTCTTGCCCACATCTTTCTGAGGCTTATTAGAGACCATCTACTGAGGCATCAGAGGCCGGAGTAATCTGGATTCACTCCTGGTAAGTCCTCAATAGACAGCATCCTTACACTTCGAGTCATTGTAGAGCGCCGTCGTGAGTTCGGATGTGGGCTGCTTACAGCCTACATCGACCTCAAGAAGGTATTTGATACAGTGCATCGGGAATCACTCTGGGAGATCCTGAGACTGAGAGGAATTCCAACAAGGATTATTGAACTAATAGCAAACCTGTATACTGGTACTGAAAGTGCTGTAAAGTGTGGTGGGGGCCTATCGAGCTTCTTTCCTGTCAGTTCAGGAGTGAGGCAAGGCTGTTTTCTTTCACCAACATTTTTCAATACTTGCATGGACTGGATACTAGGCAGAGCTACTGTTCAAAGTCATTGTGGAGCAACACAAGGCAATGTTCGTTGGTTGTTGGATACTGTGGCGGACGGACGTGTTTTCACGCACTCCGCAATTCCCTCCCCCTCCTCTACCCTCCTCCACAAGCTAAGTGGAACATACTTGACTCAACATACGTTTTTTTAACCTTTTTAATTTTTATTTTTTAAGTTAAACATAATTTATCATGTTCTTTTTTAGTTTCTTATCACCCTTTTTAACCAATACTGACTTTTACTCACCAACTCCTTCATGTTTACACACACGCCTGTTCCGCGCAATGACCGGCTACTTGACAGTTCGCTCCAGGCAGACTACGACAACATGTTACCCGCTCACGCACAAGAAAGGTAAGAGAAAACAATATTAGATGCCACGTACTGCTACACATTACCTTTCTTGCACTTACGCTTACTCTTATCGTTCTCATACCTCATGCACAAATCCTTAAACACATGCAGACACCCATGAATCAACATCTAAACACTCACACAACACTCACTCACTCACTCACACTGACCCTTTCCATACCCTCGCAACCCTACGGTACGCTAATAAACACTACAACACGACAAATAAGCACTCCAGGCACACCATCCTTCTCCTGCTACTCCTTTGTGGTGATACCGGCGCTGATATTAACCCTAGCCCTTACCGCCCCAAGTACCCGTGCATGATCTGCACGAGGGCTGTCAAATGGGGCCAGAGGGCCATCCAGTGCGATAACTGCTGTAAGAGATCCGAGCATGCTGGCTGGTATCATGTCAGCTGCATCGGCCCCTTCACACAGTTATACACTGGATTGGTTAACAATGGCGTTGCGTGGATCTGCGATGGTTGCGGCTTACCTAACTTCTCAAGCTCGTTTTTCGCATCTTCTCCCATTATAGTCTCCAATTCCGTCAACACACTCCATTCGCAAGACACAAACAACCCTCCCTTCCAACACACTCTTCCTCTTAACCCCACCCGTACACCACATACTCACCACTCTCGCCAACATACAAACAAGAACCAATAATGCCTCTCATCAGACTCCCATCCATATCACTGTGTTCCATATCCCACTGTTCTAGGCCTTCCATTGACTCCCGGACCTCTCACTCATCTCATGATTATCTCCTTACCCCACCCTTCCCGTCGCCTTTCTCTCCCCCTCTCTTCCTCAACCCTTACCCCCTTCAGCTATTCCTCCCTGCTCCTCCCTTTCCTTCCCTCTGTCTTCTTCCCCTACCTCTCTCCTCCCCCCTCTTCCCTTCCTTCTCCCTCGTTCTCTCCTTCCCCATCCTCTGCTGTGCTGGCGCAGCGATAAGGTGCTGGTCTAGCAATCTTGCGGACCTGCGTTCAATCTCATGCCCAGTCAGTGAGTGGTATCCCCGTCCATTCCTTGCACACAGGGGGAGATTTGGGCAAAATAAAACAAACAGTATGTCACAGCAAAGAATATCCACTGTAACAAATGGAATTAAAACAAAAAAAATCTTCCTCTCCATCCCCCTCCCCCTCTTCCACCTCCTCCTCCTCCTCCATACCTACCTCCCGTAGATCACCCACTCACAATAACCCGACTACCCTCCGCCAACAAAACATCAACTTCAGAAGCATTACCAACAAAATAGCCCAGCTTCATCAAATCCTCCATTCTTACAAACCTGACATTATAATAGGTACTGAGACATGGTTGACTCCTGACATTGACTCTACTGAAATTTTCCCCCTCACTTTAACATGACTGTAGTATGTAAAGACCGCTCGACTGACGCTGGCAGAGGTGGCGGTGTAGAGGTTAAGAAACCAGACTGGATTTTTATCTCTTTATTTTGAGGAACCGAGTACAAGTATAGTCAGGTCAACAGCTGAGTGGAGAATGATGTTTCCGCTTAAGAACCTGACCGCCGATGTCAGCTCGGCCAATGTGGGTGGTTCCACGGCGAGAGTCGGCCAATCGCGTGTCAGGTGCGGTCCTGCGTTGACGGCGAAGCGTTGGAAGGTCTGAGCGGCGTTCTGGAGACCGAAGGGCATCCTGAGAAATTCGAAGAGGCCGTTTTGGGGATGTCCTCAGCGATCGGGATTTGGTGGAAGGCCCGGACGAGGTCGATCCTGGAAAAGACCATACAGCCAGACAGCTCGTGGGAGAAGGAGTGCAGGTGCGGCAGAGGGTATCGGGGGCGGTGATCGTATTCAGGTGACGGTAATCACCGCACGGGCGCCAGTCACCATCCTTCTTCTTCACCAGATGCAGAGGGGCCGCCCATTGACTGCTGGAAGGGCGTATAATCCCCAACTGCATATGGTCGAATTCCGCCCTGGCACTGCGACATCTGTCGGGGGCGAGCGGACGGCAGCGAGAATGGGCAGGAGGACCGTGGGTCACGATATGGTGCCGGACTTCGTGCCGTTGATGGGTGGCCTGGTTGATCGGCTTGGTCAAGGCCGGGAACTCCCGCAGGACGTTTTTGAAGGTGCAGGTCTTGGGAAGCACTGTATATATTAGGGGGGTACTTACCAGAGCCGGTGCAGCATGTGTGCGGGCCCTGGATTGGTGGACCATAGTGCGCCAAGAAGTCGGCGCCGATGATGGGTTGTGGGACGTCGGCGACGAGGAAGATCCACTGGAATCATTGGCCGGGCTCGCCTTCCAGCGAGAGGGTTCTCGAATGCTCACCGTAGGTGTTGATGGGCGATGTGTTGGCAGCTTCCAGAGTGTGGGAGGAGGGGAAGCGTTTATCCCTGTGGGAGGCCGGGAGGAGGCTGACCTCGGCCCCTGTGTCGACGAGGAAACGTAGGGAGGAGGAGGCATCTCGGACGTACAATAAATGCTTCAGAGGTCCGCAAAAGACAGGCGCGCCCAGTTTCCGCGGTTTCCTCCACTCTTTTCGCGGCGGTGAAGGAACGCGGAAGCGAGGCTGGCGGTTGGGCGGTAGAGAGCGCCTGAAGTCCCATTCAAAGCGTAGTGGCGAAGGGGTGCGAAAGCGAGGCCGGGAGTGAGAACGTTCCTGTGTGGATATCTTCTGCACAGCCTCGGATAGTGTGGCGACATGGGCTGCAAGGGCTCCCAACGTCACGGTGCAGGTGGTGGTTGAGGCAGACACTGTTGCTATTGACGATGTGGGTGCCCTAGCTACGAGCATCGCGTCGGCTTGCAGGGCAAGTTGCTCCAATGGGGCATCTGACACCAGCAGGATTTGCTGGATATCAGCAGGCAGCCGCTTGAGGAAGAGGGAGCGCATGACGATGGGTGGGAGCGTAGTGCTGGTGCGGGTGAGGAGACGCTGGAAGTGGTGAAGGATTTCTGTGGGGGTACGGTTGTCCGCGGCGTCAGACGACGGGAAAGAGCTTAACACTGTCAGAGGGTTAGGTGCTGTTCGCCTAAGAATGGCCTCCTTAAGCTCGTCATAAGTGGCATACCAATGATTATGCAGGAGGTCGCCGACGGTCAGAAGGAGTTCTGGCGGGAGATTAGTGACCAGCAGGCGGAATTTAGTGGTCTGGGTGGTTATATTCCTGAGGAGGAATTCCTGCTCCACTTGATAAAAACATTCCGGCAGGCTGGCCAGAGAGCAGGCTGGTAGCGTCATGTGTGTTGCTGACATCTTGTGTAAAAACTTGGTTCACTCCGAGGGTCACCAGTGTGGAGGTTAAGAAACCAGACTGGATTTTTATCTCTTTATTTTGAGGAACCGAGTACAAGTATAGTTAGGTCAACAGCTGAGTGGAAAAGGATGTTTCCGCCTCAGGTCCGGCGGCTTAAGAACCTGACCGCCGATGTCAGCTCGGCCGATGTGGGTGGTTCCATGGCGGGAGTCGGCCAATCGCGTGTCAGGTGCGGTCCTGCGTTGACGGCCAATCAGGAGCCGCTACAGCGGTGTTCTCATCGCCACCAAACCAGAAGTAACTGTTAAACCTAGACCTGACCTTGACACGGACTGTGAAATCGTCTGGATCCAACTCCAACTCTATAACTGTAAATCACTTCTTCTCGCTGCTTTCTACAGACCGCCTTCTACTAACACAGACTACCTACAAAACCTTGAACTATCTCTAACACGCATTAACGCAGACAAAAACATATGGCTCACAGGCGATTTCAACCTCCCTGACATAGACTGGACTGCTCTGTCCCCTCACGATCCCCCACTCACCGACCTTGTGGCCTCCATCACTCCCCACACAAACAGACGCCAACTACATGACATGTTCATGGACATCATAAATACTGCATCAC